AATCATAGAAACCCTAATACAAATTTGGGAGGAATTTTGAGCAGCCACACCAACCTTCATGTGCTTCTGGTAAAAAAGTGATTTGGGTAATATTAGTTAACCTAATTTTCTTATTTTTCATTTTTTATGACGTGTTTTTTATTTTTAATGATTTAATTTTTTTGGAAAGCCACGTCATAACGGCGTCAAAGAGATAACAGTCAAGTGAGTAAATTGATTCAATTCGTAACATTTAGTGAGAAAATTAGAAAATTAAAAGTACAGTGAGTAAAATAAGAGAGATAGTAAAGTACAGTGATGAACGGTGTAATTTGCCCTTATTACTGTATATATATGTTTAAAAAGAAATTATGCCATGCCAAAACTGACAGATATACCTAAGTTGACAGTTACTCTAACACACACTTAATTACATAATGCTTTAAATTTAAAGATTAAATTGTAATATTTTAAACTTTGTGAATCAATTTAAAATTTGATTTATAATTTAAAAACTATGAAATATAATGTCAAATGTTAAAAAATAAAGATTTTTATTAAATTTATGAACCATAAGTAATAATTTTCATCAAATAAATTTATATATTATGCATGGTTTTCAGAACCGGACCGGTTAGCGAACCGGTCATGCTACCGGTTCACTAGTTCAACCGGTCGAATCGGTCCGACCGGTCGGAAGAACCGGACGACGTCATAATTATTTAAAAAATTAAATAAAAATACCAAAAATATTTAATAAAAAATAATTTTTTATATCACAAGTCATATTCAAAGCAAGTCATAACATATATAAATTAAAAACCATAAAATCAAGTGAAACAAAATGATTCAAATTAACTACAACATAATATTTAAGGTAAAACATATTAAATAATAAATATAATTATATAACTATAATTAAAAAATAAATTTGGGGCTAAAAAAATATAACAAAATGATATTGTTTGCTTTAATTTTTGTTTAAAAAACAATCCCACATGGCTAAGAAACATAGAAGAGCATCCAAAAAGTCTAAAGAGTAAAAATATGAGAACAAAACAATCCACATTGCCAAGAAACATAGAAGAACATCACAACTAACTTCTATAAATAATAGAGGTAATTTGACATTCAAAATCATGGAGCCTTTTAGTGAGCATTGAGTGAACTATTCTTTCACTTCAATCAAGCTCGAATTTTAGGCTTCAATTGAGCTTCTAAATTTTTTTTAGTTCAAGCCTTTTTGAGTTTAAGTTTCAATATTATATTTCGAGTTCGAGTTGAACTTGATAATTTTTAACTTGTGAGTTTGAGTGAGTTGAGCTTACTTTTAAAGTTTTCAAGTTCGAGTCGAGCTCAGCAATACTCGAGTTCGACTTGGCTCGTTTAACAAACGACATTTGGTTTAATTTAAAAAAAACAAAATTTCTTGTTTTTTTCGGTTTTTTTCGGTTTTCAGCCGGTCCGGTTCGAACGGTTCAGCGATTCTGGTCGGTTCACTAGTAGCGGTTCAACCGGTTTAGATTGAACCGGACTAGGCAACGGTTCCCGGTTGAACCGGCCGGTCCAGTCCGGTTTTCAAAATAGAGATATTATGTATACCTAAAGTCATTTTGACTCTACAAATTCAGTTAAAATATATAAGAGATATGTAATCAAGATAAACATGTGATAATTTATGAATCGTATGTAATTTTCTCTCTTTTGTTTGATTTCATGTAATAAAAAGACTTTTAAATTTGATTAAGTGGACAGAGAGACCAATGACTCTTTATATATTACTTTCATCAGAAATACTCTATCAGTTTCATTATTTTTGTCACATTTTGACAAAGCACATAATTTTAGGAGAATAATTTCATCATATGTTAAGTTATATAAAATGAGAGAAATGACAAAATTATTTTAAAAAAGTGATATATAGATTTGACATATTTATTTTGATAGATATAAAAGAATGAGACAAATAAGGATAGAAAATGAACTACTAATATTGTTCTTTGTTGATTTTTTTAATATGACATTTTAAATGGAGTTAATTACATCATATGTCCCTAAATTATAACCCTCATTTTAAATTAATCCTTAAACTTTTGAATATTACAATTTCATCCTTAAATGACGAATCTAATTTTAAATTAGTCCTTAAATTTTTAATCATTCTAATTTCATCCCTAAACTATGTTTCTCTTTCTAAATTGTTCCCAAAACTTTTAAATATTCCAATTTCAACCCCAAATTGATCCAAATATGTAATTAGTTTCAACCATAATCTAACATAATTTTGTTTTTTCAAACATATAATAGTATAACTTGGACTAACGATTTTATTAGCAAAGGATGTGATTAGTGTATACATATAGTTTGGGATGAAATTGAAATGTTTAAAAAGTTTGGGGACTAACTTAGAATGAAGGTCATAATTTAGGGATAGAATTAAAATATTCAAAAGTTTGAGGACTAATTGAGAATAATAATCATAGTTTAGGGATGAAATTAAAACATTTAAAAAATTAGGATCAATTTAAAATGAGGGTCATACTTTGAGGATATGTGATACAATTAACTCTTTTAAATGAGATAATTTTAAAATCCAAAAAAGGAAAAAAATTTGTGGGATTAAGAGAGTAATCTATTATAGTGTTAATGTATGTGTCATAATCTTTTTCCTTTAGTACATGAATCACACTTGATCTTCTCTCTTTGTTTGATTTTAATATGGTGAGAAAGACTCAAATTTGATTAATTAGAAAGAGGGACAAATTTATAAATCCAATTTATAACTTTTTTATGACCGTCCTCTTATTTTAAGGTTTCGTCTTGACTAATCCGGATTAACCTGCGTTGCACACTTGATTTTTGGCGGGTGAGTCCCCAACTGGGATTTTCTGCATACACAAAGACTCGAATTCGAAATATTGCTTAAACTATATCAAGCTGCTTATCACTTGAACCAACTCTGTTAATAATTACAACTCTTTTTATTTACTAATAAGACACAATTAATCATGTCGTCAATGTACATGTCGATGAAAACAATTCAACAATGTAACATATTGAATTATTGTATCCTAAAATCATGAATTCGGGTTTAAACTCGATTTAAATGGTCAATAATAAATAAGTCATCAACTCAAAATTTATTAATTCAAGAATTTCAATTAATTTTGAATTACATGGATATAAATATGATTAATTCAGTTTTAGAACAACTACGGTTGACAATAATAATGAACGACGACTAATACAATGGTGGAAGATGAAGAAGAAGAAAATAACGATAAAATAAGTTAGAAAAAGACTTGAATTGATTTAATTTAAAGATTATTTTTTTTAAATTAAACTAAATTATAATAGTGTGTAAAAGTCGAAGGCTAAATATTTATTTTTTCAATTTTAGTATATATTTTAGGCTTAATATAAATAAATGTCCAAAATATAATATTTTTTTCCATATACGTGCCTAAATTTTTTTCGACAATTTCACATAACATTACAAATATTATCATTTTTAGTGCTTCAACCGTAATAATTATTAGAAAATTCGTTAAGTGATATGTATCACTTTTAAAAATTTTTGAAAATAGAATAAAAAAACTTAAATATATATTTTTAGAAAACTCAGAACTTTTAAAAATCTTGAAAAAGACCCTAAAACTTTAAAAATCTTAATTTCTATAAGCACGCCAGCCACCGTCGTTTACTACTGTTTCCGTCGAACCTTCATTGACATGGATAACGCCGAACCCCATCAGCTGAAACCCCTTACTTCTGCCGCCCAACATTACTGCCAAAATTCCTACATCTTATTATACTTAAATCCCTATATTTTAACCCTAAATCCTAACACAAAAACTCAAATTTTGAAATTCCAATGAAAATCTGCTCGCCGATTTCATACGCGGGGTGGGGGAGGGTTTAGATGATGCGACCCTGTTGCGTTCACACTATAATTGGTTTCATACGCGTGAAAGGGGGCTTCATTTGCAGCTCGGGGCGTGGGAGGGGAAAGCACGAAAGGGGTTGATTTGTTTTTTAAAAAAGTTTTTCTTAATAATTATAATTATAATTATAAAATTTTCAATATTCTTTTTAAAAATATAAGGGTGACATGTAGGGGTGTACAAATTTGGATATCCGATCTGAAAAATTAGTTATCTGACAATTTTAGATATTTGAAATAGTGATCCGTATTCGATCTAAAATAATTGGATTTTTGAATATCTAAAATTTTGAATTAGATATCCGTATCCGAATAAGAATATAAATTTAATTTGACAAAAATAATTTTAAATTTTGTGATTTAATGTAACTTATTTGATAAATATGTTATATTTTATATACATATTTAATTAATCACACACAATAAATAATTAAATATCATAATTTTTATTGATTTAAAGCTTTAATGAGTGAGCGAGTTACTCATTTATAGGCCTAAAAGTTATCTAAAATCTAAAATCATAATTTCTCCTCGAATTTTCTGATACTTTGAAATTGAAATTTATTCAATCCGTACCCAATTCGATTATATAAGTTTTTTTAGATATCCGATTTAAATTATCCAAAAACCAAAAAACAGATAAAATATCTGAATTTTCGGATCGAATCAATGAATCATATCGAATCTTTTTTATCCCCTAGTGATACATGTCACTTAATGATTCCTTTTAATGATCGTTGTGGTTCATACATTAAAATAATTGAATTATTAACGTTAGACACTTAAATTGATAAAAAAATTTAAGTATCTAAATCAGAAAAAAAGTTAGATAAATATTTTTTATATTAAAGCCTATATTTTAGAGAATTGCTCAAGAGGTCCAAGCCCAGTTTTGCTGTCGTTGAATTTGACAAAATTGGAAATGTAGGATCAAGAAGGGCATGGTGAATCGTGAATCGTGAACCGTGATCCATGGAATCATACCTCTTGGAAACTTTCACTGAATATAATATTTTGAAGAGTATATAATAGGGTTTTAATTTTAAAAACAACAATAATATTAAAAGAAAAATTTTGGCAGAACGAATCGAATTGGAAGTTGAAAACTCCTCCACCTCTAGTTCTGTATTTCTTCACAGATCATCGAAGAAAAAATATGTTGAAATTCTTGAAAGGAGTGGTAGCCGGATCTGGAACTGGGCTCAAGGATCTACCTTACAATATTGGAGATCCTTATACTTCTGCTTGGGGCTCTTGGTCTCACTTTCGTGGCACCTCCAAGGTACTTCTCTCCCGCTACTCTAACCCCTTTTTTAATCTCTTACTTAAACTGTTTTTAAACCTTCAAATATCTTCCTTTTCTTTGATGTTTTCAGGATGATGGATGTCCTGTCTCTATCTTTTCTCTTACCGGAAGTAATCCTCAGGATGGCCATTTAACTGCTGGTCGAAATGGTGTCAAACGTCTTCGAACTGTAACTACTACATCTTATTCCCTGCTTTTCAGTCCCAATTGCTTTTGCTAGAATTACCAATGTCTGAAATTGTATTACTCTTAGTCCCTCTAATTGTTTCGTTTGCTGCTCAATTCCTTCTTTCTTGATCCGAAATATTGGATTTTTACTTGGATTCTGGACCTTGATATGAGTTTTCTGATTCTCTTCATAGGCGAGGCATCCAAATATCTTGTCATTTCTTCATAGTACCGAGGTTGAATCTTTTGATGGTCCTAGTCCGAAAGTTACAATCTATATTGTCACGGAGCCTGTTATGCCATTGTCAGAGAAGATCAAGGAACTCGGTTTAGAAGGTAAACAAAGGTATATCCGCCCAACTTCACTAAATGCCCTGCTTGTATTTACTATTTTGCTTGTTCTGATTCCCGGAATGGATGTACATTTTAGTTTCTGACACTTATTGAAGGTTTATTTTCCCCATTGATGCCATCATACATAGAAACTTGAGAACATTATTTGTTGATTAAAGCCATAATAATTTTAGATTGTGCTTTCTTATGTTGGAAGGGATGAGTATTATGCTTGGGGGCTGCACGAAGTTGCTAAAGCTGTTAGCTTTTTAAATAACGATTGCAAACTTGTAAGTATTTCGAACTTTTGCAATTTAGATCTTAGTTCATTGAAATTCTAAACACTTTTTGTTACGTTGACACATGTTTTCTTTTTGTACTCGAGTGAGAGCAGTTAGCAGTTCATATCTTAGGGAAATTGCACTGCCTTAAATAGACTGAATGTTAATCACCGAATACGATATTGTGATTTCCTTAGTTTTAAACCTCTTATGTCTTTCAAGATCATTCTTTTCACTAGCATTGGATGGTACAGGTTCATGGCAATGTTTGTATGTCAAGCGTTGTTGTAACACAGACGTTGGACTGGAAGTTACATGCTTTTGATGTTCTATCGGAATTTGACGGGGCAAATGCAACTGCTACAGGGCCAATGCTGGTAATGCTTGTGCTCGGATGTGAGCAAAAATGTTTTGAGCTATTTTTGAATCTCAATATGATATGTATACTATTTAATCTTCAAACTCTAGAAGGTACTTATGGAATGATGTCTGAGTATCTTCTTAGAGAAGAACAAAGTTTTTTCTGAGCAAGTCCTTAGAGATGCAATCCATAAAGTAACTGATAGGACATATGAAATGCAGTTGTTTCTTTGGCATTGGAATTATTTTAATGTATTAAATTTAGGTTACTTGCAATCTATGTAATTTTTTCTGCATCTGATTTGCATAGATGAAATACTTTATTCAATTCTCATATTCTTTCTTTATTATGCTTGTTCTATATTATAAATTGTGGTCTTTCCATCTATGTGGTACTATCAAGGTCAACTTTCCTTTCTTTGTTGTCAAACCTTCCTGTGGATAATTCATTTTAATCCTCTGTTTTCATCAGCAATATGAATGGCTTGTTGGATTACAATACAAGCCAATGGAGCTGGCAAACTCTGACTGGGCCACAATCAGAAAATCACCACCATGGGCTATTGATTCTTGGGGTTTGGGTGAGTCCATATTGTTTCTTTTGATTTTGGTGTAATAAATTAGATGGGTTGCTGATTAAACACACAATATGTGCTAATTCTTTGAGTATCCATTTCTTTTCACATTGATCTCTTAGGTGTATTTACATCATGAAATTCCATTCGGACAAGAGGGTATTTCTTGCATGGGTTTAGAGTTGATACTGGCTGTTTTTCATCTCTTTTAGACTATGAGCAGGGAGTGCTTTTAGATGTTCATTTGGCTATGCTGCTAGTCAGCATTCATTTGCTTAAGTTTATAAGTTTAGATTTATTTCAACGTTTTCGAAACTCTTCTCAACTGTATTTTATGTGCTCTGTGTATCATAATGACTTCAGGAAATGTATTCACATATGCATGTATCTAATGCGGACCAGTGAAAAAGGAGATAATAATAATTACATATCTGTAATTTGGTTCATTTTCTGTTTTTTTCTGCTATCTAATCTTCTGTACAATCTGAACTTTTTTTTGTTTAATTTGGTAGGATGCCTTATTTATGAGATTTTCTCTGGGACAAAGTTGGGAAAAACCGAGGAGCTGCGCAACACTGCATCTATTCCAAAGGTTTGTGGTTATTATTAGGGATGACAATTCGGATTGTGGATTCGGATATTTGCGGATATCCGATCTGTTTTTTTTGTGGATTTGGTTATTAAAATTACTATTTGTTGTGAACTTAGAGCGGATATTGATAGACATCCTCAATCTGAATCCACTTTACTTAAGCCGATACAGATTGCGGATTTGGATATCCGAATTTGACTCCGGATTAAAAAATGGAGAATTTCTTTGCTTCTAAGGGGATTCGAAGCTTGGTCGTCTAACTTTTAGTAGATTTGGATATATGAGGATTCAAATATTTGACATATGATTTAAAATTTTGAATTCATTTTTTCTTGTGGATTCAGATATTTGGTAAATAATAATATTTTATTTGAATTTGGATAGTGATACTCGGATAATTTGCTGATAAAAACAGATTCGGATTTTTAAGAAAAATTTTGGATTCGGATTGTAATAATTCAAAATCTGCAGATATCTCACTTGCTGCCATCCCGAGTTATTTTATTAGTGGTTGCATTCCTCAGTTCACTACTGCTTATATGTGCTACCGTTTTGATCCTTGGCAAGGTTAATTGTTTTTTTTAAATTTATCTGGCTATTTTCTTGTCTCACAGTCTCTGCTTCCGGATTATCAGCGGTTATTGAGCTCTATGCCTTCCCGTAGGTTGAATACATTAAAGCTTATAGAAAATAGTGGTAAGTGCCTTTTGCTGAGTCTCTTGTGGTTGTGCCAAACGTATTAGAAATCCAGCAAAGCAGTCTGCTTTATAAGCATGTGAACAGATTTAGGAAGAAGAAAAAGTCTTATTTCTTCTCATAGGAGTACACCCTTTTAACATAGCAGAAAAAAATAAAAAGGAAATAATCTCTAATAATTAGCCTATCCCTAAAAATTAGTAATTAGATTATGGCTAATATTTACAAGGAAGTTCCTAGAACTAAGGTAGAGAATCTCCTTAATTTAAGGATTTCCAACACTCCCCCTCAAGCTGGAGTGTAGATGTCAATCGAACCTAGCTTGCCTATAATTTCTTCGAACCCTTTTCTGCTCAAGCTCTTGGTTAACACATCTGCTACTTGTTGTCGAGTAGGTAGATATGAAACACAAACTTCCCCTTTGTTAATTTTCTCCGTAATAAAGTGGCGATCGATTTCCACATGCTTGGTGCGGTCATGGTGTACAGGGTTGTGAGCTATACTAACTGCTATTTTGTTGTCACAGATCAGTATTATAGGTGCTGTATAGGATAATTTTAGTTCTCTCATTAGTCGTTGTAGCCACATTCCTTCACATATACCTTGGGACAGAGCTCGATACTCGGCTTCAGCATTGCTGTTTGCCACAACCGATTGCTTTTTACTCCTCCATGTCACGAGATTACCCCAAACATAGCTGCAGTAACCACTTGTGGAGTGCCTGTCATTAACAACACCTCCCCAGTCTGCATCAGTGAAGACTTCTATGCTTCGATTTACATACCAGGAGTCCCTTTTAAGTATCTCAATATCCTGTAAGCAGCTTCCAAATGTTTCTCCCTAGGAGCATGCATAAATTGAGTAATAACACTTACTCCAAACGCTATGTCTGGATGAGTGTGAGAAAGATAGATAAGTTTTCCCACTAACCGTTGATATCTCCCCCTGTCTACCTTTTATCTTCCTTATCAGTTCCTAATTTAAGGTTGGGTTCCATGGGAGTCTCGGCTGGTTTGCAACCCAACAGTCCGACTTCAGAAAGTAGATCAAGAACATACTTTCTTTGAGAGATTGAAATACCTGCCTTTGACCTTGCTATCTCCATTCCAAGAAAATATCGAAGATTCCCCAAGTCTTTAAGTTGAAACTCAAGACTCAAGAATTCTTTGTCTTTCAATTTCAATAGAATCATCTCCTGTCAATATTATGTCATCTACTTATACAATGAGAATACAACACTTCCCATTAGCCGAGTGTTTGTAGAATAAGGTGTGATCAACTTGACCATGAATATAATGTCTACTCGTCATGGCTTTGGCAAAACGATTAAACCAAGCCCTAGGGGATTGCTTTAGTCCATACAAAGACTTCTTCAACTTGCAAACTTGACCCTTGCTTCCTTCGAATCCGGGCGGAAAATCCATGTAGACTTCTTCGTTTAATTCTCCATTGAGAAACGCATTCTTTACATCCAATTGGATCAAAGGCCAATCTAAGTTGACAGCAATTGAGAAGAGCACTCGAATAGTATTTAGTTTGGCCACTGGTGCAAATGTTTCCTCGTAGTCCAACCCATATGTTTGAGTGAAACCCCTGGCCACAAGTCTAGCCTTGTATCGATCAATGCTCCCATCTGGTTTAAATTTCGTAGTGAAAATCCACGTACAACCCACGGTCTTCTTTCCAGTAGGTAGTTTAGATATTTCCCATGTTCCATTATCTTCAAGAGCCTTTATTTCTTCCAACACAACTTGCTTCCATTTGGTTGACTTAAGAGCCTCTTTTATGTTATTTGGAGTTTCTACATAATCAATATTAGAAATAAAGGCATTGTAGGATTTAGACAAGTTCCCATAGGATACAAACTGAGAAATGGGATGTTGAGTGCAACTTCTAGTGCCCTCTCTTACTGCAATTGGAAGATAGATGGAAGGCGAAGGAGGTGAGACTTCTTCCTTAGGACAATCCTCGGGTAAAGATGGCATTGGCACTGCTATTTCAGTCTCTGGCAGCTGATGTTTTCGAGTGTATACACGAAGCTACTGAGTTTTTTCTTGTTGTTTTTCAGGAGGAGAGGGTTGTTTTTCTTCATTAGTATGGTTAATCACCCTTGTTTCTTATTGCTGCACAGCGGAGTCGAGTAAAACAGGGTCCAAATCAGGAATTACAGTGGCTGTAGGAATTTCAGCAATGGTTGTAGGATTTTCAGCAGTGGTTGTAGGATTTTCAGCAGGTTTTGTAGTGGTGGTAGGACTAATAGAGTCTTGAGGTATAATGAGAAGGTTTTCAAGGTCTCATCTTCACTAAATATCTCCCCCTGAAGATGAGAGGCTGAAAAATATGGCTCGTTTTCAAAGAAAGTAACATCAAGGGACAAAAACATTCGGTGTAGGGTTGGAGAATAGCACCCTTACCCCTTTTGTGTAGGTGAGTATCCAAGAAACACACAAGTGTGGGGCTCTAGGATCAAGTTTAGATTGGTTAGGTTGATGATTGTGGACAAATGCTTTGCAACCAAAAGTTTTGGTTGGGAGATTAGGAACACGAAATAAGGGATTTTTTTTTGAAGAGTATGTAAAGGTGTTTGAAAGTTTAATACCTTTGATGGGAGTCGGTTTATAAGATAACAAGTAGTGAGAACAACTTCTCCCCATAAATACTTCGGTACACCCATAGTAAACATAAGAGCACGAGCCACGGCTACAAGGTGTTTGTTTTTCCTCTCGGAAACTCCGTTTTGTTGAGGAGTGTTGGGACAAGAATTTTGATGTATGATTCCTTGCTCAGAAAGATAAGGGCTTAGGATAGAATTAAAGTACTCTCTCCCATTATCAGTTCTAAGGGTGTGAATTTTGGAATTGAACTGAGTTCGAATCATTGAATGAAAACTTTGGAAGACTCTAGAGACTTCGGTTTTTTCTTTGAGGAGATAGACCCAACAAACTCTAGCGTGGTCATCAATGAATGTTATGAACCACCTAGCCCTTGTGACATTTTTTATTCGACTGGCTCCCCATAGATCACTGTGGATTAAAGAGAAAGGTTGAGATTGAACATAAGGTTTCAAAGGATAAGGGACACGAGTATGTTTAGACAGTTGGCAAACTTCACAATTCAAGGAACTTATTTTCTTATTTAGAAATAGTAGAGGAAAAGGTTTCAAGTACATAAAATTAGGGTGTCCTAGTCTACGGTGCCATATCATGATAGATTCTTCTTTCGATGTAGATAAGGCCATCCCTTCTTATGAACTGTTTTTATTCCAAATATATAAGCCATCGTCCACTTTAGCAGTGCCAATCATCTTCCCCGATTCCTGTTCCTGAACCACACAAGCGAAAGCAGAAAATTTAGCAAGTAATTTCTCATCCTTGGTAAGCTTGCTAATTGAGAGTAAATTACACGAAAGATTTGGAACATATAAAACTTTATCAATGGAAAAATTTTCAGTAAGTATGATTGTTCCAATTCCAGCCACCGGCGAGTAAGATCCATCAGCTATGCGAATTTGGGAGTGATCATGACAAGGTAAATATGTGTGAAACAAACTTAGATTACCTGTCATGTGGTTGAATGCACCCGAATCTACTATCCAGATGGGTTCATATGTAGTATTTAAAACAGTACATTGAATAACTAGTGACCCAATGGTTGTAGGTGTCCCGAGGAGTTTATGAAGAGCCACAAGTTGAGTTTTGGTTAGCCGAATATCCTGGGCAACTTCTTCAGTAGTAGATATCATTGTTGCCTTGTTTTCTTTCTGATTTTTTCCGGGATAACCATGGAGTTTAAAACATTTATCCTTGTTATGTCCAACCCGGTTACAGTAGCTACACCATGGCTATGATTTTGAGGGATTCCTTGGCTATGATTTTGAGTAATTTGTGAGATCTCAGTCTCAGAGAGGGTTTCATTGATATCACCCATGAGAGAAGGAGAAATAATTGTTTAGGAAAAGAGATGAGAGACAAATGAGTAGGATCGAATGAATCCTATGGCTCTCGATACCATGAACAGATTTAGGAAGAAGAAAAGTCTTATTTCTTCTCATAGGAGTACACCCTTTTAACATAGCAGAAAAAGAATAAAAAGAAAATAATCTCTAATAATTAGTCTATCCCTAAAAATTAGTAATTAGATTATGGCTAATATTTACAAGGAAATTCCTAGAACTAAGGTAGAGAATCTCCTTAGTTTAAGGATTTCCAACCGCATGTGCTTTTATGTTCAATTCTTGGACCAACTACACCTAATGGTTGACCTTTGGTGTGGATGGAGTATTCTTTATTCTTGGAACAGAAGTTATTCTCTTCTTTTAAGTGGCTATAGGTTTATTCTCCTTACTGAATTAGTCAATCTGTTTTCATGGATACTTTGTCTTCATTCTGTTATTTCTAGGTTGTGGCACTTTATATTCTTATATTTTAGTTTTAGCTCTACCTTTGAACAACACTAGAAACATTTTATCCACCCTTTTAGTTTCATTATTACTACTTTGTGGGAAGCATTGGGAGATAAGAGAGGGCAATAGTTGTTCTGAACTCATCCCTCTCCGTAGAAAATAGGGAGAAACAATAGAAAAATGAGGATCTGTATTCCGGGTTGTGGGAAGTTTCCGTAAAAAAGGTGATGCAGCTGGAAGGGGTTGAGTATGATTGTCTTGGGTGATGATTTGAGATGATGGTACACTTTTTTGAAAGTGAAGTTACGTTGAAAGCTTTATGCTTTAGAAAAACGATCTCACTGTTCCTCGTTATAGTAATAATTTTACTTTTATCACAAGGTTCAACCAGATATTCTCTGTTTCATATGGTGCTTTTTAGTTCTTAAGTGTGCTTTGTGAAATCATTGGTGTTTCATTTTTCTTTTTATGTATACGATCTTATTTGCTTATGTTTCCACCAATAGTTTATTTGTTTTTAAATTCCTTCTCTGCCAAGTTTTTTCTTTGTACTAATACTATATTCTTAAATGCTTTTATTGACAGAATATTTCCAAAATAAGTTGGTGGACACAATACATTTTATGGAAATTCTTAGTTTGAAAGACAGTGTTGAGAAGGATACTTTCTTCCGTAAGCTCCCTAATTTAGCAGAGCAGCTTCCACGCCAAATTGTGTTGAAGAAGGTACAATCTTTGAGCTCTAGTGTTATAAGTTGAGTAAGACCAATCATCCATGGTTTCAACTGCCAATTTATGATTTCATAATTTGCTTTGCAGTTACTTCCTTTGTTAGCCTCTTCCCTTGAATTTGGTTCAGCTGCTGCCACTGCTTTGACTGCACTGTTGAAAATGGGTTCTTGGCTTTCAGTTGAAGAATTTAGTCTGAAGGTCATACTACTACCTGTTTCAGTTTACTTTATACATGATTTTATGTTTGATTTAAATAGAAATTTCGACTCTGTTTAAATATGTAACTTGTGCTCTATTACTTTTGGCTGAGTGGATAACGTCTTCGTTTCTCCCTGTAGGTACTGCCTACAGTTGTGAAACTTTTTGCGTCTAATGACCGAGCCGTTCGGGTTGCTCTCCTACAGCATATTGATCAATATGGGGAATCTTTATCAGCTCAAGTTGTTGATGAGCAAGTATGCAATCCACAGCAAAGTGATTTTTGTGTTTCTCCCTCATTCAAGAAGATTTAGTTATTTAATTCAAACTCCAGATATTATTGCAAATTATTAACTGTTGATTTAAATTTGTACAACTAGGTCTACCCCCATGTTGCCACTGGATTTGCAGACACATCTGCGTTTCTCCGAGAATTGACTCTTAAGTCCATGCTTATATTGGCTCCTAAGGTATGTTCTTTTATTGCTGTTAGCAGCCATGTTTCTTAGACCTATTATTTCCTAATGTATCTGTGTCAAACTCATAGTGGACAAGTCAAACTTGATTATTTTTGTTGATACACTTATCCTAATTATAAGTAAGAGTTAAAAAAGAATTGAACATATTTGTCTTGGGCATACCTGGGTTCATCACCTGAACCAAGAGTGGGCAATGTTTGGTAGCATGACTCCATTTTTGGTAAAGGAAATTAAGATTGTTTTAATAGGAGATACCCTGGTGTAAAATATTAAAAGACACGTTTTGTACTTTTTATGTTTGTTGTGGGTCCAAGTTGCACCATCCAGCTAAGCGTTGAAAGTAGGAATTTCTCTTTTAGCTTACCATCCTTATTGTAATGTTTTCACTCTAGTTAGTCGTATCTCTTTCAAGGGTCTATTGTGTTCTTAGTCATGTTGTTGACTTATTCAAGTTACTTTTCAACTCTTATTAGCTAGCTTGCAATGTTATTCATGGGAACGTACAAGGAACTGGCAGATTTTATAATCGTTTTTGATAACTTAGCTTTATAAGATTGTCAAACGATAGTTGGGACTGGGAGACAAAGGGAAGATGTTTTATATAACTAATCATGATCCATTGAGTGGTATGGGATCATTCCCTAGCGACCACTGCTAAGATTTAGGATCTTCAGCATAGTGCCAATGCATAAATTAAGTAATGAATTCCCTGTTATATGCCAATGGTCTTTCCTATTTTTGGATGTTGACAATGTAGGATAATAATGTGTAAGGTCTTATTGTGTGCAAAGTTCAATTGCTTATTTATGTTGTCTCAAGTACAATGGAGAAAGGTGTTATGAATAAAAATGAAAAATCAAAGAGGTTGAGTTTGATATGTGTTTGTGATTTTAATTCTATATTATTTCCATGGTCTTGCTATCATGTTTCATTGTCTATTTTGTTGCAGTTTCGTGATATTTTTTTTTATTTTTTTATGTAAAAATGCAATTGAATCTTTTCTAAGTTTTGTGTTGTCTTATTCTGCACTGCAGCTTTCGCAACGTACTTTGTCAGGCTCATTATTGAAATATCTTTCCAAGTTACAGGTATGCATCATATGGTATTGTATTGTAGTGTTATATTTTATTTCTGGTTGGTCTACTTATATGTGACTTAAGTCACCATCATTTGCAAGGGAATAACAGAAACAACCAAGTGCTTCTAATCCTATAACCTTATGTCTGCATTACCAGTTTATAATAGCAGTAAATTACTTTATCTAAATGGATGAAAAGGTATATTTGTGGTGGAATTGTGTCTAATTTTTCATATGAAAATAACCAAGGCTTCTCCATTTTGAGAATGTTAAGTTCTCATTTAATTTGTTTGAGGTTCTCTCACATGCTAAAATAATCTTCTTTATACACTTGGCAATGTTGTGCAGGTCGATGAAGAGCCTGCAATTAGGACAAATACCACCATATTACTGGGAAACATTGCAAGCTACCTAGACGAAGGGGTTAGTTGATCCTAGGCCAAACCTTGTTTAGATTTTGAGTTACCTAACATTGAAATCTGAGATAGTAGTGTTTAGTGGTGATCCTCTTTCTTTTAGTGTCGTGTTATATGTTCCTTGTTAAAGTTCAATTAATTGTCTGCTGTTAAAAAATTGTCATCTCTTGCCCTAACACTGTAGACACGGAAGAGAGTTTTGATCAATGCATTTACAGTCCGTGCATTGCGTGATACTTTCTCTCCTGCCCGAGGAGCAGGTATACTTGTTTATGGCTAGTTTCCGATACTCTTGGTTTTTGAAATGCTTTCTTTGATTTTCAAAGCATGTGTTCTTGGGGTTTTGGTGTCATCAAACTAACATGTAATTATATTGTGGCAGGAGTTATGGCTTTATGTGCCACCAGTTCTTATTATGACATGACTGAGATCGCTACTCGGATTCTTCCAAATATTGTTGTACTCATTATTGATCCTGACAGGTTATGTTATTCTTGAATGGTTTGTTTATTGCCAACTTTTTATTATCATCCATCAGTGTACATGAAGAATGTGCTCTCATCTGTTTAACAGTGATGTAAGGTCGAAGGCATTTCAAGCAGTTGATCAATTTTTACAGATAGTGAAGCAGTGTAACGAGAAGGTGAGCTTTAAGGTGCCTTCATCTCTCTCATTTCATTGAATTTAGGCAAATGCAAACTTTAATGTAATTTCAGTGCTATCAAGCAAGTAATACTTCATTTATTTATCTATATCATTTACTTCTTTTCTTGATCAGCATTCTAATGCATTCAGTATAAATTTTCCATCCTTAATGAAACATTTTGTAACTTTTGGTTTGTAGTGGTAAATCATGTTTTGAACTGGCTAAAACATATTAAAAACGACTGTATTTCTTGGTTCTGCATGGATTGATCTGGTTTCATCCATTTGTTTTTAACCAGTGTATGGCTATGTTTGTTAGGCAACATTTTATTATATATTTTAGGCATGCAGGCAACATATAACTAATTACGTCTTTTTATTCAAATTATGTCTTGCTGCTTTTATGCGTTTACCTCTCATCTTTATTAGTATCATTATCAGTATCAAACTAAACTATTATCTTTATACAAGCGTAAAAAAATTGATATTTTAATCTCGAACAGCTGTTCTTCAATATCATCTATGGTATGGTATTTTCTTATACTAATGCTTTTTATCTATTATTCTTCACAGAGTAATGCTGGAGATACAGCTGATGCTGGAAGTTTAGGGATTTCATCAATGCCAGGAAATGCTGGTTTACTGGGGTTAGTTGAAAATATTTGCTGTATTTGGTGATGTTGCTTGTTATCATGTTACAAGATGCTTCAGATGGAATCAATGACCTTAATGAACTTTTATATTAATTTTTGTTTGCTTGTACGGTGCATTAATTTTTAAGCAGCTATCTTATTAAATGATTTATAAAGGAAGGTCCCGAAAATTTTATAGCCACTTGATGGATGATGTATCTCTTTGTCAAGGCTGTAATTGTGGTTGTTGAAAGCTAAGATTCTGACCTTGCAGATGGGCCATGAGTTCCTTGACTCTTAAAGGCAAAGCGTCTGATCAAGCTCCAGTTGCTACTGCCAATTCCGTCAGGCCTGCAACTATCACATCATCTACATCCAGCCCAGGTATATCTTGCAATTATGCAACTTATAAAATTTGGAGCCTATTATATAGGAAATAAGTTAATACAATGCTATGCACTTTTGGTCTTTACTTTTGCCTGATTATGTGGTTGTGTGCATTTAATAATTCCATCTCTAATGTTGTTTTTCTATGAAAATCTTAGGACCATTAGAAACTCCAAGTACAGCACCAGTCCACCGTGTAAGTTCTAGTACAGATTTTGCAGATCAACCCATGCCTCCATCTCCTACTTCAACCGACGGCTGGGGAGAAATTGAAAATGGCATTCATGAAGGGCAGGACAGTGACAAAGATGGATGGGATGATATTGAACCCCTTGATGAGCCAAAGCCATATCCAGTCTTGGCAAATATTCAGGCAACTCAGAAGCGTCCTGTTTCACAACCAGTTTCTCTGCCTAAACCACAAGGTAGTATTCTCCATTCAATTGTGTAATGTAGGAAATGAGTTTCTAGTCTTCACGTTTATGGTCCAAGATGGGAGTGAAAAATTGAAGATTTACATTTTCGGTGGTCTGTTTTTTGTTTCTTTGCTTTAGCTTCTACGAGTTTGAGACCAAAAAGTACAGTGAAGGTGAATAAAGATGAAGATGATGATTTATGGGGTTCGATAGCAGCAGCTCCTCCAAAATCTGCTTCTAAACCATTGAGTGTAAAAACAGCTGGAGCAGTTGATGATGATGATCCATGGGCAGCTATTGCAGCTCCCCCTCCAACAACCAAGGCAAAGCCTTTATCAGCAGGAAGGGGCAGAGGAGCTAAAGCAGCTGCTCCCAGATTGGGTGCACAGAGATAAATCGTACATCCTCAACCGGGATGTAAATCATAAGGGAACAGAACAAAAATTGAGAAAAAGAGATCAGGTTTTGTATACTTTTCTGTATCTGGTGACTGGTTTCACATTAAAATTTCATGGAAATCTCTGTTGCGTACCAAGTAGTACTGTGACATTATTTTATTTGTAACCATTCTTTCGCACAAAATGTTCACTGGTGTGCTTCTTGCTTGTTTCATTGTTACTATAAAGAATCTTAGCCCTTGAGAAGACTTGTGTGCAGTTTTGATCATGCGAGTGTATTTTGTGTAGGGAACAAAATGAATTAAGCTTTGTTTAGAAGTATATTCCTTTGAAAGAATAATAGAAAGTTTCAGTGGCTATAATATGTCCATGGACCCGATGCATTTGAACTCCATTGTATGAAAAGAGAAAATTTCATTTCAGTTCAAAGTATGTACAGAGAAGATCATTTAGTGAAGAAGAGTTGTTTTCCAAGTCCAAGCTAGCAACATTACCATATCATCCTGATTGATCACAACTGATTCAAATAAGCATTATTTTATCAAGTGGTTGTGCTAAAGAAGATAAGCATGCATTGTATATTTACTGTCGACTCTATACCTACTGGTGAGACTCAGCTGTTCCAACCTCCTTAGTTATTAGCACTACTTTTTTCTTCCTTCTATTTTGATCACGACGAGACTTCTACAAGTTCGCAAAGGAAAACTTCAATGGTTCCAGGGGAAACTAAGTCTTCGACTTCATCTTCAAGAAATGGAGGCACTCTATATCCTCCTAGAGAAAGAAGATTCAAATAAGTGTAAAAGGCTGTAGGATTTTGTGGTAGTTGATGATGAAGGTTCTTGTCATATGTGAAGCATTCTAACATCTTACCCAATTGTACGATCATCCTGGTATTAAGTCTCAATGTAGTTAATGGAGGACTACATTTCCTTGCAACTCTAACTTTCAATTCCTTGTGAGATAACACAGAGTAAAATTAAGCAACGAAATATGACAAAAGCTACCAGTTGCAGAAAACGTGAAAAGAGTGGTATTAATGAAATTTTCCTTCTCTTCCATTTCAACACAGTTGCAGAAAGCTACCAGCCTACCACACTTTTTTTTGTTAACACCAAAATACAACAATTTTTCTTGAGAAGAAAATTTGATGGATATGAAATTTCTCAAAATTTGACTGTATGTATACACACCATTATTCTTCTACAAAACGCTGTTAAAGCAGTAGTAACATTTACTTAAACCATTCCTAATCCTCTTGTTTAATCTTCTTTATTTTAATAATCCTAAATAGTGATTACAACTTAGATGGTCTTAAAAGCTCTTAAGCTCCATTAGCATTGGACATGCTTCTCTTTGAAGACATAACAAATTTTCAGGAAAAATGCGAGCTTTTTTAACTTTCCCTTTCGAAGATCATATTTTTTTTCTTTCTATTTTGGCTTGTAACTCAACCGGCTCTTGTTCCTGAGATGATCTAAAATTTCTCTTTCTGTTGGAAATCTCTACATAAATTTATGACCAAGCTACGAACAACCTGCTACATTTTCAAAACTGATAAATAAATATAAATTTACCAATGGAAGTATGGATCAAGGAACCACTTCTTAGACTATAAGCTTCATGATAACTAACTTTGAGCCAATTTAGTATAAATCTTCAAGGGATAGTGAAGAAAAAAGACCCAATTAGGGGAAAAGAAAAATGGAGTTTAAGCACAGTACCATCATATCGTTAATGTTGCTTCTCTTGGTCCATTTGTCTGTGTCACATTTCACCGAGTCAATGCCTCGATGCAAGGCTTGGTTGGTCCAATCAATCCCTTCAGATATGCCTCATCTCCATCGGGTCCCTGGTGTCCTTTCCAATGGTAACACTTATCTGCTCCAAGCCCCAAAGTGAAAATTAATAGAACTGGTCTTTGTTTTTTTAACCCCTTTTTCTTACTTTATAGGTGTTGTATTTAAGTGGTTGGCTTACAATTCAACTTGCAAGGTAGATATAATAACTCATTATTGGTAGTTGAAAGCACAACCAAAGGATTATCAGTCAAGGGATTATGGATATTTAAAAGATGATATGCGTCGTTTCGGTGCCCATCAAGGATTTTCTGTTTATACAGCCCTGAAAAAAGCTGTTGATCGAGATATCGATATCATGTGATGTCGTATAGATTCAATGTCTTTCTTTATTAATGGAACCAATTGTGGAAACTAATTGTTATATTGGGAAAAAATATTTTAAGGTTAGACTTGATGAATGGATGATTGTACAAGCTTTAGAATGTTTGGATCAATTTAGAAGTTTCTAAAGGATAAGGGACCAAATTGTAAAGTGTAGGAATAAGGGACTTGTTGTGGAAATTGGTTAAAAAATGATGTATCATGCTTGAATGAATTGTTGGAAACTTGAATTTGAAGTGATACGGCAAGGGACCATTTTGAATATTTTGAAATTTTAGGATGAATTTTAAAAGAATTCATTTTGATGACTAAATTGTGAAATTTGAAATGGTTATGTGAATTATTCGTTGAATGGAATATTGAGGGATTTGAAGTCGTATTTTGAAGTGTTAAAGTCGATATGGAATATATGAAATGGATTAAGTATCTAATAAGCATTGAAATAATTTTTAGAAATTTTTATGCTAATGTGTGCCTATGTTCATGTTAGTAAGATACTAACATGAACTTTGAAAATGTATGTGTTTTGTAAATAATGTACATGTATATCGCGATCAAAATTGAGTTAAAGCAAGTTTAAAGCTAAAGAAAAAAATTTAGGAGTGAAGCTTGAATCATTAAGAAAGGTTTGCTAGTAAAATATACCAGGTGAGTGCATTCTTATTTATATTATTATACGTATGATATGAGGAAGACTTGCGATGAGTCAACCTCAAATGATTTGGAAATGAAAAAGATTTTAATCGTATTATGTTATATTTCATAATATTTTATGAATGGTATTTGAATGATTTCGGGTATGGACTGCCCAATGCACTATTATATGATATTTTGATATATCGATATCTGAGGATATTTTCATAATGAATGATAGGTGATTTTTAATGAAATGTCCATTGTTTGTCTATTGAGAATCGTTGGTATAATTTCATGCCATGAGGTGGAGTATTGGTACGTAGCTCGTATGTGTTGATGATGCCATTGTACTCTCAAGATACATTATATAACACATATGTGTTGATGGCGCTATAGTATTTCTGACCTTTGGTACACTGAAACGTATGTGTTAATGGTATCTTTGTACATTCTATGTGGCTCTAAAAGTACAAATTGTGTATACTCGTATGTGACGCGCATACCATGCATTCTCATTTATTATACATTGGGCTATGGTTTGCATAAGAATTAAAAAAGTGCAAGTTTGATCGATTTGATTGAAAGTTAATCTTTCATCGAATATTTTGATTCGGTATTAAATACTATATATATTTACACTAATGATTTTCAGGATATACGATGAGAAAATGACTTTGATAAGTTTGTTTTTTACATGATATTTTATATATCAATATACTTTACTTAAATTATGAAAATGCCTCACTAATGTATATTTAGCGTGTGATGATTTTCACGCGTAGATAAAGGATATCGAGCGGAGTAAGGAGTTTTTGGTCTTTTGGGCATCATCAATCGAGGATTATCTCCCCAGTATCAGTATGACATCTCTTTGATGTTTTTGATTTTCTAGTGGGCATGTATGTGTTTGTGGTACTTTGATATGAATACATTTGGAATTGTAGACATTAAATTTTTGCCCGTTTTATTTTTATTATTATAATTATTATAATTATTACTATTATTATTATATTTTTATTAATAAATATTATTATTACATATTACAGGCCCAATACCTGGAGCCCAATTACAACAATACCCAGTTCTGGCCCAATTCGAACTAGTCCAATGAAAACCCTAAACTGATTAGGGTTTCATCTTTTCCAGCCGCCAGTATCAATTTTAGCCGTTGGATCTGGTTTGATCCAACGGTCCACAACTTTCCAGATAAAACCCTAGGGTATCATAACCCTAGGGCCACGTCCCAACCGCCGCCAGATGGTCCAATATCTGCTGCCGACGCTTGTTGCCTCACCGAGCTTTCCAGAAGAGCCAATCGCCCCACATGTCGCAACTATTGGGGAGAGTCACCACATAGCTCGGTGACTTACCAAAGCTTCCTCTATTGACTGGTCCGACGAGAGCCTCTTCGAGACTATATGACCACACCTGCAAAAAAAGAAGAGAAGGACAAAGAGCGAAATAGAAACCAAGAGAAACCCGAGAGAAAGCCAAAACCAACAGAGAGCAGAAGAGAAGCAACGAGGAACACAATCACACACCAACAACAACAGAGAACAGAAAACAACAGCAAGCTATCACAAATAACCACCAAACAACAAACGAAGAAAAGAAAAAGAGGAAAAGAGACTCACCGTAGCCTCCACCCGCCGCTGTAGAACCAAGAGTTCGAAGGTAAAAAATTTAGATCTACGAAAACCTAAGGGTTTTTAGGGAAAACAAAGATCGAAATCGGCCTTAGGACGTTCCGATCTGTATTTTAGGTAAATTTAGGAATTTCGGCCACCAAAGGCGGTGGCCGGCGATGGAGTTAATGACGACATACGATGGCCGTTGGCTGTCAGATTTCTCTCCGATGAGAGAAGAAGAGAGAAGCGGGAGAGGTTCTCTCGTTAGAGAGAGAACCAGAAGAGAGAAATGAAGTTTTAAGCCCGTTTTGGGCCAGTTAATGGGTTTATATACCCTCCCCTATACGGCGTCGTTTTGGGGGAGGGTGTATGTGCAATTTAGGAAAAGGTTAAACCATACACGTAGTCCCTCTGCATTTTGTAATTTTACGTTTTAGTTACTGGAATTATATTTTTGATCCTTTTAATTTTGTCTCATAATTTTATTTTATTTTAATTTAGTCCTTATCAACATATATATATATTTAGGGTAAATATCAAATTTAATCCCTTACAGTTTAGTAATTATTATTTTAATCTCGAATTATGAATCAAGGTTAAAATACCATTATAATGTCTGTCTTTTAAATAATTCGAATTAGAATTTTTTAATCTTTATATTTTATATTTTAATCATATAATTTTAGTTTTTTTATTTTGGTCATTGTTTGATTTAATATTATATTTAATTGTATTTTAATTTGATTTGTATTATTATCCTTTTAATTTTAATATGTTTAAATTATTACTTAAATTATTA